ATGCTTTAATGTGTCACATTGTCAAGAAATGTATATTGGGACAAATCAATTTTTCACATACCGGTACCGGTACTTAAAAATTATAAACTTAAAGGTAAAGACCAGTTATGGTCATGCGATTGCATTGTGAAAGAAACGTTGTGGAATCGATCAGAAAAGGTTGATCATCTAGCATCTAGCATCTGCAAGGTTCTGGAATCATCAAAATGATAAGAAATTTGGCCCATTCTTCGTAAAGTTACAAGCACTATACACAGAAAGATGTATATGGGACTACCCTATATCTCTCACAGACCATTAGAGAAACAAATTTACCAAATATATGAATTAGTAGGCGGTTTCCCGGCAAATTTTGTATCATCATGTATTAGTCAAAACATATTCTTTCACATGATTGGTAATGAGAGCTTCCATTTCTTTTTTTGAAATTGGGGCGTTTCCAATACTGGTCTTTACCTTTAAAGGGTATGAATAATTCAGTTGTTAACTTACATGTATAGGACTTAAAGTGAAAGCACTAGCACTAGCACAATATTTGTTGTCCATATGCGTTGAAATACAGTGCTTTACAAAAATGATGTACACCCCCAATCATTTATACCGGTAGGAGAAACCTGAGGGTTACTGGGATTTAGTTTGCTTTTCGCCTCCCAGCCACAGGTGACGCCAAATGCTAGTACTTAATTTATAAAAAAATGCTCTTGTATATTAGCTTCATTATCATTGATTTATAACCGTTTTGTATCATAACGGATTTATTACATCGATACTAGCGTAATTTTCTGTCCTAAACAGTAAATCCATGTATACAATAAAAACAGTAAAAACAGTAGAACCATACAGTATATTCCAAATGTATAAGAAGTACTATACATGTACTTGCTTTAATTTAAAAAAGTAAATAAATGAATCCGGACAGATCAATTTTTCACATACTGAACAAAATATTATTAAATTCATAATTAAGGTTGTGAATAATTATGTTGTTAACTATATGCCGTTATGAGTTTTTAATTCCTAGGTAGACAATACTGTTTTCTTCTTGAGTCTTATGTAGAAACACATTGAAGTATTACATTTATATATGCTCTATATTGTTCAACATCCTAATTACAAATTTGGACACCAAACAAAGAAATCATTGCTAAAATCCTGTTTTGTTTACTCTGTCTCACATCATTAAAAGCTTGCATGCAAAAAAATTCATAAACATATATGCTGTTCTTTGTTTTATGTTCTTGTTCAATTTCTTTTTACATGTTTTTTACATGTACCGTACATGTGTGGATGTTGCTGTGTTGCTGTTTAAAGAGAAGATTGAGTTTTGGGGAGAGGTGAACAATAATTTGTGAGCGTTTTCGTTGTTATTATGCAAGTGTGGAAGAACATCAGGGAAAAAATATTTCATGGAATGCATGGCTCTTCAAATGCCTTCATATTCTAAATATTACATGTAAAAGCTTAAAAATGAGGACATGTTTATGTAGCCCCATATAATAATAATAATAATAATAATCCGGTTTTTTATATAGCGCTCAATACACCGATCCAACGATGTACCTAAGCGCTTTACAGATATATTATTACCCCGGTCATCGGATTCAGGCTTACCCGCACACAATGTGTGCACATTTTCCACTCCCTGGGGAGCATTCCAGCCAGTCGCCATTTTACAGGCGCACACTTGCTCGTTCAACCACATGAACGTTCGCATCCTACCGGGTATACATTTTTCTGTGTACAGTGCTTGTTACTTTTACCAAGACTGGGCCAAATTTCTTATCGTTTTGATGATTCCAGAACCATGCAGTAACACCAATACTTATATGCTACATGATCAACTTTTTCTAATCGATTCCACACCGTTTCTTTCGTAATGCAATCGCATGACCAGAACTCAACTTTATCTTTAAGTCTTGTTGTGGTTTGTGCATTACTGAATGTGGATTTGCAAATATGGAAAAGAAATCATAAAGGATATGAGTTTAGGGGGAATGAAAGGAGGAGAACACAGTCCTGAGAATGAGAAAGGATGAGAGATCAGAACAAAAAAGAAAATAAAGTTGGAGGAGGAAAGACAAAGTTTGGGAGAGTGAATACACACTGGCACTGGCACTGGCATGAGAGATTTCAGGGGCATTTTACATTGCAAGCACAAACCATCGGTTTTTCTAACATTCCGGAGTTTTGTCAGAAGCTGCTACAACCTCTGGAGGGTGTTTTTTTTTAAACGCCGGCTGAAACTCCACCGGTTTTTCCAGTGTAAATGCTCGCTCTCAAATTTTTTTTGCAATGTGAATGGGCCTTATAAATGAAACTGGTAACTAAGGTTACACAAAAAAACAATGAAAATAAATTGTCCTTTGCCCGAGAGAGAAAATATATCACTAGAGACTTAAATATACATGTACATGTAGGCAGTGCACAATTTGTTTCACACGGGTCATGTGATAGAAGTTCTTGACCTAGATTTCGATTCAAAAAGCAAAAACATAATTATTTTTTGTCACAATTTTGTTTACATGAAATATGTAAAGAGAGATAAAAGTATATAAAAAAAAGAACCAAGAAGAAATGGAAACAGGAAGAAAGAAAGACAGAGGAAAATAAATTAAAACATACAGTTTGAGCAAGAGACATTTCTGAGAGAGATTGAAAAATACAGATAAGATAAAAGAGAGAGAAAGAGATTGAAAAAAGGCATAAAGTAGATAAATAAAAATTGAAATGAGAAAAGGATAAACCAAATTTTGAAGAGCATGATTGTTTAACATAGCAAGAGAAATTGAGTCATTTATAATCATATGTACATGTATGAATATAGAGAGGAAGAAAAATGAGAAAGAAAAGGGATTTTCATGGAAAAGCATATGGGGGGGGGGGGGGTGAGCACAAGCAATAATGAATTTGATTGTAGGATTTGTAGCATTACATATTAAGCGATGAGCAATTCAGAAAGAAAACAAAAGTCTCTCTCTCTCTCTCTCTCTCTCTCTCTCTCCTTCCCTCCCTCTCACAACACACACACTCATCCCCTTTCTTCCCCTCTTTCTCTGCTCGTGCACTTTTATGTCTTTCTCAATCTCTCTCAATCCATTGACATATAATATGCTGTTTATATCATAATCTTTAGCTCTGGATATCAAAAGTAAATGCTCTTCCCGACAATTTTTATGATCACTTAACTCTTAAGCTGCCACCCATACAATGCCCCCAGTGCCACAGTGCTAATCTCTATTGTGCCAGCCACAAATTTCCTGTGTGCCAAGTTAATTTTAGGGTTGGTTCAAGTGCGTGTTATTTAAATCTTTACAAAAAACAAATCGCTAAATTACTCGAGAAAATCCAATCTGACTGTTGTATACAAAGACGCGTAATCCAAAGCCGATAATCTGATGCACGCGATGGTACTTTCAATAGCGCTGCAAAAGCACTCAGCACGGTGCAATGGGCATGAACAATGACTGTTATTACATATGCTTGCTAGCGTGCACAAAGCAGAGTAGCGGTGGCTCGCTAGCATGAACGTAGCAATCAATCGATAGCGCGCTCGCGTGCACAGAGCACTATAACAATAGCGCGCTAGCAGTCTCATGGCAGGATATGAGTTAAGAAATGGAAGTTGGGAAGATACATGCTTAATATACATGTAATAGCCCTTCTGACCTTCAGCCCTCCTTACTAAACGTTATCCATTTCCAAAGTTTGAACAATTTGAACAACAGTTTTTACACATATATAATTTCATTCATCGTCTTCAGTATACTACCGGTATACTTTTTTCTGTTGCTGCCATGCATGTCAGTAACCCCTGCATGACCTGGGCTGAATTTTTGTTTGATATGCACACATGCGCACAATTATGTTCCTATGTTTGATTTCGTTGGCAAAAAAAGACAGTGTTCCGCCAAAATAAAGATACACATGCAAGTCATCTTTCCATTTTCAACTGTCACATTTCTTGCTTATAAAAATTCACTGCGCATGTGCGACCGGGATCCCAATGTATTCTCTCCATTTAATCTTTCTACTGGACATGAGCAGAATAAGTTTCACCCTACGTATTATCAACATTTTTTTTAACCCTGAAAATATTTGTTACAGTCTTAGCAAAACCATAAACCCTTATCCATGTACAGGGTTTGGTGCACACATGTCTTTAGAGATTTCCTTTAAAGCCTATCTGCACTAGTTTGACCAGGAGGGATTAGACCTCCCTGCATGGTCACTGACAGGTTGTTATCTCATTAAATTAGCTCTCAATTAACATAAGAAAAAGGGGACCATGGGGGACCAACGGTCACCACTTACGCAATGTTTGCTATATAGAGGGTGCAAGTAGCTATAAGTAGTGCAGAGGGGCCTTAATAGGGCAGTTCTCAAGGTGCAATCTTCAGCCAACACAAATCGACAGGCATCATAACATTTTAATCAAATTTTTTGAATGTCATGAACATATAATTTCCACAGCTATGGTTTTTCTTTAAAGTTTCTTTGAATAGTGTAACTTTAAAGTGTACCAATCACCGAAACATTTTTCGCCCTTGATTTCTTCCTGTTGCTATACTGTAGTCAAACTATGAGCTTCAAATATTACTTCTACAAATAGATATTGCAATTAAAATACATTCTCAGTGAGCAGTAAAACGTCTTGTTGAATAGACTAGCTAAGACACCCCTACACACTCGCATAGAATAGGGCACGCTCGGAATCGATGTCACACTTGGGATTCCGTGCCCTAAATGCCGAGTTCAATGTAATCCTTTATTTCTTTTCGTACTCCTTAATTATTAACCCAAAGAATGCTAAGTAAACGTTTTTTTTAGGTTTCTTTTATACATTCTACCTATAGGCAAATTATGTTTTTCAGGTGATAAGTACACTGTACAACTCACAAACCTTGCAGCCAAAATAATAATAATGAACGTTATTTGTATAGGGCATATCACTAACACAAAGAAAGTCCCTATGCCATGGGAACAGGCCTACCCATACTTACTCATTCACACAGCTTTGGCACAGATCTGTGGAGATTTCCATGGGGCAGTTCACACAATGCCATCTCACACCAACGATGGGTGAAACGTCACAACCATCACAGCTATAGCCAGCATGGCTCATGTCCGTCTGTTGGAAGATTTGTATGAGAAAAAATGCAAATAGAGGGTTGCAGGACAAGGTACACGGTCATTTCCTTTTCAACAAATAACCGATGGTACAGTGAAACCTGCTTTTAAAGGTAAAGACCAGTTATGGTCATGCGATTGCATTGTGAAAGAAACGTTGTGGAATCGATCAGAAAAGGTTGATCATCTAGCATCTAGCATCTGCAAGGTTCTGGAATCATCAAAATTATAAGAAATTTGGCCCATTCTTCATAAAGTTACAAGCACTATACACAGAAAGATGTATATGGGACTACCCTATATCTCTTACAGACCATGAGAGAAACAAATTTACCAAATATATGAATTAGTAGGCAGTTTCCCGGCAAATTTTTTGTCATCATGTATTAGTCATAACATATTCTTTCACACCATTGGTAATAAGAGCTTCCATTTCATTTTTTGAAATTGGGGCATTTCCAATACTGGTCTTTACCTTTAATACTGAGTGACAACCTGTCTAGAAAGACCACACTTTTTGTTTCCCTTGAATGGTGTTTCTCATTGATAAAATAACCTGTTCATAAAGACCACCTGCTTATAAAAAACAAACAATTTTCTTGCCTTGCTTTGGCAGTCTTTAAATACAAGTTTCACTGTGTATTACCGGTACAGTAAAAAATATATCAATAAGAACACAATAAAAAGTGTTTCAAACTGTCTTTGCATATTTATTCTCTATCTGGTTGGGTCAGGGATAAGACCTAGTTGCTCTCTGATGTATAATGTGTACACTTAATAAACATTTGTAAATTGTGTGTTCCACAACAAACAAACGGAAAAACAAACAAAAAGACAAATGAACATACAAAGAACTTCCTCTAATTACCTGTTGTTTGAGCGTGATGTTTCTTAACTTCTTGAGTCTCACCAACTCTTTGTACTCTTCCGAGCCTTTCAACTCACTTGGGATGTCGTCTTCTTCCTTCAAAGAAAAGAAATGAAAAGCGTTATTAAAGATAAACTTGAGTTCTGGTAAAAAAAGAAAACGAATTCTCACAGAATCTAACGAAACTTAGACTGAATGTTCAAGATTACAAATAAATGTCATGTGCCAAACAATTTTGGAAGAAAATGTATACCGGCTGAGTAATGAGCATAGAAAGATAAGGAAATCAGGGTAGTACTAGCCCCGACACCATGTGTGTTGTCCCATATACATCTTTCTGTGTAAGTGATTGTTACTTTACCAAGACTCTGCCAAATTTATGATGATTTTGATGACTCCAGAACCTTGCATTACACACCATTACTTACATGCTATATGATCAACTTTTCTGATCCATTCCACACCTTTTTTTTCACAATGCAATCGCATTACCAGAACTCAAGTTTATCTTTAAGGATAATCATCTGCATGAAATGGTATGGAATTATGTTTCTTTGGATACTGGAAGTATAAATTCAAATTCAATCCTCTACATACTGATCAAGTACAAGTAATGAAGAAACATGTAAAAAATAATGTGCTGAATGATAGAAAACATCTCTGGGTCCCTTTAAATAAAAATTCCTATGGATGAGTTGAACATCCTACTAACTCAGTGAGGCCTGACACCTGGGTTAAGTCATATTTACGAAAGGGAAAACCTAGACTGCTGTCTAAATTTGTTTGTTAAAATGGACTTAAGACCAAACTTAAACCCATTGTTAAGTTTGTATTTTAGTAGCATAGAGACTAAAATGTTTAACTGGGATACTTTTGCTAAATATATACCGTAATTAACGGTGTATTAACCGCACCTTTTTGCCGCCGAAAAAAATTCAATGTCGGAAGTGCGACTTATACACGGTGCACCATTTTAAAAAAAAATTTTTTTAAGTTTTGATTTATGCCCCTCTACCTGGTGCTATGCCTGGCAATGTCTCCCAGCTCGGTAATCGGTTTGTTGACTCACCACTCGGAAACTAGAACAACACTCAAATTTGTCTGTCATCTTGGTTTGAAAGTAATCTTTCTGATAGATCTCAATATGTAGTTTATAATAATAATTCCTCCAATTTTTTTTTTTTTTTTTTTTTTTTTTAAGGGCAAAAAAGAGGGGTGCGGTTAATTACGGTAGCTTCCCTTTCACCTATATAATGACAATTCTGGGCCCAATTTAACAAAACTTGTCATCAGTGACAAATGACAGTTTTTGTTATAAGCTAGTGAAATCCTTGCTTCTGAATATCAGCAGATTTGTCCCTGATTTTTGTAATTTTTCATTGAAAAAAACGGTTCATTAACGGGTCATTAAAAGGAGAAATACCTCCACTTTAAGATGACATTCTATTCTGTTACTTTGTGTTTACAATAAATGGGAAGAAAATGGTTTTTGTACCATCATGGAATAGAAAAATTGAGAGAAATTAGTAATGGTACAATATGGAATTGAAGAAATAGAGAGAAATTGGCAATTAAACAATATGGAATTGAAGAAATAGAGAGAAATTGGTAATTGTACAATATAGAATTGATTAAAGATGACTTTCTGTTACTGTGCGTTTGCAATAAATATGTATAAATGGGTAATTGTACCATAATGGAATCTGCATCGTAGTCCATTTCGTAGTCGAATGCATCGTCATCGTCTTCGTTCATGAGGACAGGCGCTCGGATCGACTGAAGGAATGTAGAGGGCGCGCACGTCAGTCTGTTGTAAGGGTTCATGTAGCGACGCTGAGTTGGCTGTAGGGTACAACATAGTCCATTAGAAAAGTGTGAGGTGTGATGAGAAAGATTTTAAAGCTCACTTACAGTATTGGTAGCAAAAAAACATAAATATAGTCTGTTGTTCTCGTTTAATCTACAGATATAAGTAAATATATATACATCTTAATACAGCCACATATATGTAGTAAAAAATTGAGTTATTAAGTAAACATGGTCATTAGCAGGACATTTTCGTGTCCTGTTAACGTTTGGACAATAGAATTACTGTCCTCTATGTACATGTACGTTTGCGGGTAGAGGAAACTTAAAGGCCCCCCCAAGAAACAATAGGTTCAATCATTACTCATTAGTTTAATTAGTTATATTGTTTAGAATTTAGGGTTAGGGTTTGGGTTAGTGAAGGGTTAGGGTAATATACCAGTTTTTATGATGTCCTGTTAATGTACCATTTAGGGTTATATATATATATATATATATATATATATATATATATATATTTATATATATATCTATAAATATCTACAAGATCATTTGGTGTTTTATCAATGATTTCCAGTGGATTCTAGCATAAACATCTGCAATGAATGCTAGAAAAAGCTATTTCCTGATGTTAATAGGTATTCAAGTACAGGATCTTACTTTTTTCAGAGTGTATGTGGCCATGTTAGGCATTCGACCAGGAATGGGTAGCCCAGCTTTGCCGAGCTTGATGAAATACTTCTGCACTCTACTGGCAACCTGAATGGAGGTAATTAATGAGGAATTAAAAACATAAGCTATAATTCTTTGCTTGAATACAGTGAAAATAACAGTTAATGATTGAGCTAATTACTACTAATATCTCCTCATTTTCTGATCTCATTTCGAAACTATTTTGTACTACATCAATACATATCAATTCCTCCCCCCCCCCCCTCAAAAAAAAAAAAAAAAAAAAAAAAAAAAAATCTTTCCTGGAAAACCACCTCCTCAGAAATTTACACTCCAGACAACTACATAGGTTAATTGATGTAGGTTATAGATGTCCAGGGGTAAACATCATAATACAATCATATTCATTACATATACATCTTTTCTTTCATCTCTCTGACTTCCATCTCTATGACCATCATCATCATCATCAACAAAGACAAAGGCAAAGATCTCTAGCATGAAAAGCTAATCTGTTTACCTCTCTTTCTTTTTACTTTATTTTGTCAGGGTTCGTGCAGTTCTGTAACCCTTATAAAATACACTGTAAATGTAAATTGAATCTTTTACACTCAAAAATATATTATACATCTTCAGTTATATCGTTTATGTTTTGTTTATTGAAATTTTTAATATTGAATCTACTTTTAATTCTTATTTCCCCATGATTGTACAAAATATTTGATGTTGGAAGAACAGGCGTATTTTGTTAATACACATTTTATACAGAAATAAAAACCCCAAACAAACAATCTAACCTGATGGCGGGTCCTGTTCCCAAGATCCTTGGCAATCTTTTCCCATCTCCTCGCTTCCACTTCCTCAGACGGGTGCGTGGTCAGTAGGTCCTCTAGACGCTTCTGTTTCCATGACAAACCAAACAAACAAGCAAATAAACAATGGTTAACTATTGTAAATTTCATTCCAGGGCATTCCACTCCGGGAATTTGTAGAACACTGATATCAAGCTTTCTTATTAAAGCCCAACTGTCCTACTTGTAGCTACTTGCTCCTTCTATACAGAAAACAATGCCTAATCGGTGACCATTGGTCCCCCATGATCCTCTATATTTTACGTGAATTGAGAGCTGAGTTGATGAGATAGCCTCCTGTTAGTGACCACGCTTGGTGGCCTAATCCCTCGTGGCCAAACTAGTACAGACGGGCTTTAAGTTGTCCTTGATTTCTTCAACAAACAATAAAGAAAAGAAAATGTAAAATGCTATGTAAATATTGTAAATTCAAACCTGAAAAAGAATTTCTTAAGACACTTGACTTCTTCAAAAACATCTGAAAAAATACCTGAACAATTCTTATCAATTTGTTGATAGACTAAGGGACAGTGCCTTGTACCCTTTGGAAAAGGCGCTATATAAATCAAATTATTTTGACGAATATTTATTAATTCAAACGTATAGAAATTAATTTGAAGCTCCTGTTTACATAACAACTAGAAAAAGGAAATTAGCAAAGGTTTATTATATGTTCATCTACTTCCAACACTGATCTCTGTGTCTATGGAATTCTTTAGTTCAGCATTGATATATAATTGATCTATTTTAGTTTTCACTTCTGTCAGGGTCTTCACCATTAGGACCATCACTGTCCTTTGAATTTGATCTGGGACCCATTGCACAAAACTTACCATTGATGGTAAGTTTGCAATCAATGGTAACTACCATGGAAACCTTGATTTTGATTGGCTGTTGAGCCCTAATATACCATGGCAGTTGCCATTGATGGCAAATTTACCATCAATGGTAAGTTTTATGCAACAGGGCCCCGATCCATCCTTTAATTAGTCTGTGAACTTCATACAACCATCAGCTACACTTTAAAGTTAAAATATATATGGAAAACACATCTCGGGCTTGCCCTCTAATATGGATATTGAAATTAATTTTTCACACTTAACACGAAAATCATAACTGATGAAGATCATACCTGTTCACCGACTGTCCAAAGTCGATTGAACGTGTCTGGTTTGGTTTCGTCCCAGAGGCGACCACGGATCACACTCTTGTTCTGCGCAAGACAAAAAAAAGTAACAATGAAAAAAAACAAGTGACAAGAAAACCAGGTATTCAGATAAAATGATTGTGTTTTTAATATTTGGAATGCTGTGATTTGAAACACTGAGGTTGTAGAGGAAATGACAGAGATTGGAAATGTAAAAAGAACTATAAAGTTACAGTTAAACCTGCTTTAGTGACCACCTGTCTACAATGATAACTTGTCTACAAAGATGACCTGTTTACAAAGACGACTTTCTTGTCTCCCTTGGGTGGTCTTCATAGGCAGGTTTCACTGTATTAACATGGTTCAACTTCATTCAACTCCTCCATGGAATGTTAAGTGTCTACCCTACTTTGGTTTCATTGGGGAGGGGGAGGGAGGGAGGGAGGGAGGGACGGACGGAGGGAGGGAGGGATGGAGGGAGGGAGGGAGGGAGAAAGGGAGGGAGGGAGAAAGGGAGGGAGGGAGGGAGAGAGAGAGAGAGAGAGAGAAGGAAAGTAATAGAGAGAGAGAGGGGAGGGAGGGAGAGAAAAGGAAAGTAGGAGAGAGAGAGAGAGGGGAGGGAGGGAGAGAGAGGGGAGGAAGGAAGGGAGGGAGAGGGGAGGAAGGAAGGGAGACAGAGAGAGAGAGAGAAAGGGGGGAGGGAGGGAGACAGAGAAAGAGGGAGGAAGGGAGAGAGAGAGAAAAGGAAAGTAAAAGAGAGGGGGCACAGAGAAACCTATTACCTTTTCATCCTCATCCTGATCATCGATTGGAATTGATGATGAGCTTGTTCCTGCCCAGGGTCCTCCGCCGAATCTAGACATAATGAAACAGAGTCACTGGAGACATTCGACATGACACACATTTTCCTCTAGCTCGGGCTATTTTTCATGAACACTACAAACAACATCATTTTGGTATAATGTGCTGTCTCTTTGCACAAGCACAGGTTGAGGCTCCAATAGCTATTACGAGACACACTGTTGGAAGAAATTTCTTGAATGATTGAGTGTCTTATCCTGTTATAGCTACATGTACTGTACATGGTAGCCACTCTTCACCCAGGTGTAGTAAACAGGTACACTCACTACACTGTAGTAAGAAATTCTGTGAATGCTTGAGCGCCTTATCCTGGTTTAGCTACATGGTAGCCACTCTCCACCCAGGGGGGTCTTTCACAAAGACTAAGATCGACTTTCAGGTGGACTTAACTATGGCAGGCCATTCATGCCACTGGTTGCTCTCACCATTATGATCTTTCGATATATTTTTTCCTTCAATTATGAATTATAAAAAAAAGTAAATTCTGTAGATTTCTGACCATGATTTGTACGTCTCTTGAGAGACCAATGCCAGTAAATGGTGAGAGCAAACAATGGCATGAACGGCCTGCCATATTTAAGTCCAACTTAAAGTCAATCTTAGTCTTTGTGAAACACCCCCCCCCCCCCAGGTGTAGTAAATGGGTACTTTAATGTTATTTATGTTGATTATTTCTTGTTCACTTGATGATATACATGCATGGTACACAAAGGGCTTATCCTTTGGATGTTAAATGGAGGCCTGTGTAGAGAAGAGTAACCACTTTTGCATGTTAAGAACCCACTGCACTATTTGTATGAGAGAAGAGGGAAACCCCGGTGTAGTGGTCCACTTTTCGCCTCCCCGTCACAGGTGACGCCATATTCTTAATAATAATAATCTATACATACCTTTTGGTTTCAAGCTGGCCCTCGTCTGGTGAGACAGCCCTAGGATCAGCTCCTTACTGTCCGGATGACCTAAATAGCGCCCCCACGGGATCTCTGGGAGAAGAACAATGCGCTGGGGTGACGGCAGGTGCAGGGTGTCCTTTGTAAATGTAAGCACGAAAAAAACATGAAGAAAAAGTATTTCCTAATGCATATATATCTAAAGTTCATCTTTTGCCATTTAATATGTTTTAGAAATTGCTATTTTACTTCTTTGATAGCAATAGGCCAAATTACAAAAATAACGTGTTTCTTGTCCAAAGGACAAGGCAGGGCATTACTAATTACTATTTTCCAATTTTTTGCTATGATTATTTCCAAGATGGCTGCCATGTTAATTATAGCTGGCCAAGCCTAGTTATTCACAGTTAATGTGCTATGTGACTATACTGATGCAATCTATGACCAAAAAAAATGATTTTTATCACTGTAGAAGCTATTCAAACAAAATGTATATCTTTTTTTGTTCTTTTTAACTTTTTCTTTTCTGAATAGTAAATAGTTTTAAAAAAGAAGGCAGGAGGGGAGGTAAAACACAAAATTTTTGTTGTTTGGCCTTATAAATGCAATTGCTTTTTGAACCAACTGATCAAAATTTACTAGGGGATTACTTCAAGAAATATGTTCAAGCTCTTTAATTTTCATGTATGACTGCCCTTCTTTTTAAAAGCTTTACCTTTTAAAAAGCATTACCTGTGACAGGGAGGACACATTACAATGTAAAATAGCAATAAGGCATTAACCCATTAGCAACCAGAGATTTTGTAAAAATTGCCTATTACCCACTGGAAGATGTTGCAATATTGCTTTCATTTTAACATTGTTCTGAAACATACGAAACATGCGCTATTTTTTTATGCAGAATCCTACTGGAGACATTGTAAGGGTTACGCACGTATAACATTATCACAGTATACCCCATAGAGGGATACTACAGCACGTTGAAAACAAATGAAAACGGACGGGCGGTTTCGGGCGGTCAGTAAGTAAAAGGAGGGGCGTTTTAGTTGCTAAAGGGTTAAGAGTGGGTTTGGAGTGGACTATTAGGCTATTATTATTATTATTATTATTACAATAACTACTCATGCCTAACATCATTGGTAATGTCTTGAACAGTCCACATCTTACGATCAAATACACCTTCCCAAGTTTGACTGACCTTTTTCTGCAATCTATGAACAAACTTGAGGGGGTTCCGGAGTGCTTCTCTTTGAGCCGTCACCAGTTTGTCCAGATCCTTGACGGCCTGCTTCCTCTGGGCCTCCAGCGTGGTGATGGTACGCAGCAGCATCCTGTAGCTGAAAGCCAAAAGACACAGAGGGAAAAAAAAAGATAAACACACAAATGAACACATTACCTAGGGGGTGTTTTACAATGATTCTAAGTCAAACTTAACTCTATAAAGTTGGACTTAAATATTATGGAGAGCCATTTGTAGCCTGATAATGAATAATATTCAAAAGCAAAAATTTTAGTAGTTTAGACTTTTCATGAATTTCACATTAAGAACATGAAATCTCCCATTATAATAGAAAATATTAATGATTTGAATCAACATTTTATGCCTTTTAAAATAACTTTTACAAAATATTTTCAAGGATGCTAGCGGCTTTCCATAATTGTCCAACTTAGAGATAAGTTCAACTTAGGATCTTTGTGAAACACCCCACAGGTCAAGTAGTGTTGGCTTACTGGTGTTCAGGTCCAGCTGGGTTGTCGGGTTACACAACCATGCGTGAAGACATACCCTTAAATTCAAGATAGGTCGGGTGTGCATCCCATTGTCGGGCGACACAAACTTTTAATACATGCCCTCAAGTTCACTTAATGTTTGGTAAATTAAATGCAAGTAATCCCTTTTTTTTCTTCAAAGATAGTCCTTGACAAATGGCCAGTCTGTTTACCGGTACTTGTACATTTGTGAAAACGTGCCCATACTATGACAAAATGTTAATCGATTGCCTTTTCATGAACTCTTGATTAACAATTCTGATTTTTCTCATTATATAGTACAAGTACTTGGGGACTATAATTACGGACAATGGTTCATGTAGAAAAAATTGCAAAGGTATCTTTACGTGAGCAGCAAATTGTCAGCAAAAAATTCAACTTGTATCTAAGGAAAAGAATCATGAAAACTATGGTTTGGAGTGTGCTGCTCTATGAATCAGAGACATGGACTCTGAAAAAAAGCAGACATAAAAAAAGTTAGAGAGTTCTGAAATGTGGCTGTGGAGGAAGATGGAAGAGGTAAGTTGGGTGGAAAGAGAGGCAAATGATGGAGTTTTACAGAGAGTGGGGAAGGAGCAGAAGTTAGTAACAACATGGAAGGAGAGACAGGAGAAACAGATTTGGCATATCCTACAGCATGACGGACTCCTGGGCCGTATTCAAATCAATACTTAAGTACAATATTTAAGCTCTTTACTTAGTATTTGGCTTAGATAAAATACCTAGCCTATTTTGGTATTCAATTCAAACTTTTGGCTAAGTGTTTTACCCTAAATTTAAGACAGCTCCCTACCAGACTTAAGCCAATTATTTGGAGGCCTTGATTGGCAGGCATATGGTTTTCTTACGCAGTATTATAACCTGCGCACAATTATATTCGCGCGGTAAGCGCGCATTTATTGCGACGCATTAATTGCACATTAGTTTTGCTTGAGTATTTTAGTTAGATTTTGTCTCAGGTAAGTACAAGTCTAAAATGCGATTTGAATACGAGATAAGTAAACTTCTTAGCTTAGCCATTTACTACACGTAAGTAAACTTCTTACTTATTCTAAGTACCTTTTATTGAATTTAATACCGGCCCCGAGAGATATCTTTGAGGGAGGGTAGGAAGGGAAAGGAAAAGAATTATGATGTTGCATGGTATCAAGGCAAATGATATGCCAAAAGAGGAAAGAGCTCAAGACAGAAAAGACTGGAGGGTTTTTCATGCTTAAAATCTGCTAACTGGAATGCATTACAAAAAACAGAAACTTGACTCATACTCACTCTTTATTGCCTTTGAGTGCCATGTGATCAGATTCATAGTAAAACGGTTCACCTTCATCCACTTCCTCTGCGTACCACTCCTCTCCCTGGAAACCAACGCTCTCCTCTTCATGCACCCTCCATTCTCGTATCTTGGCTGCCACTTCATCAGAGATCTCCGTCACATCGTCAGCCGCCTTGGCCTGCTTCTCTGCTGCGAGCAACTCGCCGAAGGTTGGTGCGCGTTCCAACTCCGGCAATGGCCGCACATCCTGCTCTTCCCCCTGGCTGACGGTTACCCCCTTCTGGGCCATAGAAGTGTATGCGGAGACTGGTGGGGGGATCTGTTCCATCTCCATCGCAACAACCTTCACCTGTTCCTGCTCTTGGGCCCTGTTGTGATCAGGAGTACCATCAGCCCTTCCTGACCTCAAGCCCTTCCGAGGAGAGAGTGAAAGACTGTCTCTTGGAGATTTCATCGGACTTCGACTTTTCTTTGCTTTGTTCGACTTGGAATCCCAGGACAATATTTCATCATCTTTGCCAGGGGTATCCTCCTTTTGGGCTGGGAAATCTTCTTCTTTCCTAGCTCTGGTTAACCGTGTGGGAGATTGAGGAATTTCTTTAGACTCATCAAAGTCTTTTGATATATCCCTACAAGCAATTGCAGATTTCTTCCTCTTACCCGGCTTATCTTTTGTTTGATCTTTTTCTGATGCGGTGTTGAGTTCAGTTGACTCTTTGTGGCTTGGAGCTGTTGAAGGTGTTTTAATCTCTTCACCAGAGTTCTTATCCTGGGTGTCTTTACTCTCGATGGATTCAGGATCATCAGAGGACTTCTGTCCACTTGGCTGTCTAGCCCTTCTAGGACTCATCCGAAGTGATGGACTAAGAGCCCCTCTTGGGGGTGGTTTGCTTGAGGTCTTTACTGTAAGTTCCCCAAGATCTAAATTGATGTTAAGCAGTTCTACTTTGGCAGTTTCTACCTTCCTGCTTTTCTCTGGACTTCTTGGTGGACTTCGAAGTCTGGGGACGTCTAATTTTTCCTTGTCCTGTCCGCTCTTGGATGAAGGTCTGCCATGATCTTTGCTACTTTGGTGTTTCGCTGCTGGTTCATCTGTACTTTTGCCTCCATCACCCTTCTCCGGAAGATCAGGTTTGGAGTCCTGCTGAGTTGTCTGATGTGAGTGAGTAGACGATTCTTCATCTCCATCAATTCCTTGTCTTCCAGAGCGGGTTCTCCTCCGAGATTTACCGCTTGGCTCTATTGATGCAGTTGTACTGTCCTCAACTTTCTTGTGCTCTTTGGTAACATTGTCTTGATGCTTATCCTTTACCTTAGCCTTCACTTCTTTGTCCTCTTTCTCTTTTGGATCTTTCTCTTTTACACCTTTCTCTTTCAGGTTGCCATCATGCTTTCTTTCTCGGGGAGATTTACCTTTCTTCTCTGAAACTTTGTCCCGTTTATCACCATCATCTTTCTCATCTTTTTCTTGCATCTCCTGTTTCTCCTTTTCAACATCTTCTTCTACCACGCGACCAGATCGTCTCCTTTTCTTTGTGGATGTTTCTCTTGGAGATTCTTCTGCAGGGGACAAGCCTCTTTTCTCATGCTTGTGTCCACCTTCTGCACTTCTCCCACCTCTTGGAGATAGCTTTGGGGGCTCTGGAGACCTCCCACTACTTCCACTGCGCTTCCCTATCCTCGTGATACGAGGCAGCTCCAGGACAACGAGGTCCTCTGAAGGCTTCCTTGATCGTGTGGCCCTCTCTTCGGGCTCCTGCCACAGCTCTGCGTCTGGACTGATTGGGAGCCCAGAGGGTTTCCTAGATCTTGTGTTCCTATCCTTGTGATACTCCTGAAATAGTTCTGCATCAGGACTGGTAGGACGCCCTGAAGAGGATCTTGTGGCTCTCCTCATGGTGAGTGACAAGTGAACAAAGTCAAAGCCAAGTCGTGGAACCCTGCAATGATAAAAAAGTCACAAAGAGTAACAGTTAGGCGGGAATACAGTGTTAGACCTCCTGCATTGTTTGTACTACTGTAGGGGCGCGGGCGATGATCAGTATGACGAGTGCACACAAACATAGCTGCATTACTGTTTCAGTGATCGATATGAATTCATTTTATTAAGTCGATCAAAGAGATTGATTATATTTATGTTTAGCGCCATCTGGAGGCTACTAAATTCGTGTGAAGAAATGGCACCCTTTTTGATATCCAGTGGATAAAATCTGTTGATATTGGAGGCATCTTTGTGAATATGGATGTTATATGCACTTAAGAAGGCAGAATGAAGGTATGTAATGATGCAATGTGATGAATGTTGTATATAAATGCTGTAATGATGCGTTATTCTATGATTAAGTACCTTTCATTCGCACCTAACTCGCTCTGTACATTACATGGATGTAACTTTGATTGAACAGTAGCCGAGACGGTCGGCTCACATACCAAATGTTATTGTTATGTAATGTACACTACGGCATGCGATTGAAAGGTACACGTGTGCAAGAATGTAAACAAATATTTGCCTAGTTTGAGTTAATGTACAAAGATGAGTACTTGGGGTGCATAATATGGGAAAGTTGTTATATGATTTATACAAGTTTATATTGATAATACAGATGGTTTAGTTATAAAGATACATGCTGTAATTATGAACAGAAGTGATACAAAGGATGTATGTCAGAAGTCTGACTTAGTTCAATTAAGCATACATGAACTGGTACTATGGTAGTAACAAACAGTTAGAATTGTATTTAGTTTATATGCAGTACAAGTTAATGTGTGAGATTAGGAAAAGAGCTAAAACAAAGGTTAAAACAAGGGGTTATTTAGCTGTAAGGTGCATATTATTGATAAGCATATGTATATTGATGAACAGTTAATTTATGATCCGTTCGATCTATTTTCATTTGTGCAGTTTTTACGGAGCATTTGGAGCAACGAGAGAATTGGAACAATAAAGAAATGACCAATAAAAAAGTCAAAGATGCTTCCGCTACAATTACTATCCTGGCGCTTGGCTGTGTATTAAAAACTGTTTTAGACAATCTTTTCAAACACCACTGTGACTGTACAAAACTCAACCGAGTTCACTAAAAATTGGTACTTGTCTTTAGTGACAATTGATGACACCTAAATAGCAGTAAAATACAATCTTTTCAAATTACGATGTTAGAAAGAATACTTTGAGTTTGAAAATTCAAATTGTGAGTCTACTGTCAGCTGTCAAACTTGCTGATCAGCCACATTGTATTCAATAATTGTGTGCATTACGTGTGCAATAGTGTGTAATGTGTGTATTGTGTGCAATTTCTGCCCCTTATTACTCTTAGCACGTAGTTCAGCACATAGTTCAGCACATAGTACAGCGCTAGAGGTCAATACACATTAGCATTGACTCTCCAATGCTTGCTCGAGTGAGTGCACATGCACACACATCATCATCCAACTCGATAAACATCACGTAAAATAGACTAGAGTCTAATGTTACACTGCACGCAGTTGAAGGTGTGGGACTGAAGTGAAATATGAAGTGAAACGGAATCAAATTAGTCTAAGTCCATGAATCACTCATGGGTTTAATTATCTCTTACCGGGCTCAAAATGAGTCTGGAATTATCCTTGTGCTTCACTTCATCTGTTTAGTCTCCATATTTATTTATTAGCGTGAGCATGAGGTTATTTTCTCTCCTTTTCGCCGTCTAAACGTGCTGTTTTTTTTTTAACCTAGTACGCTAACAGTTCATTGTGCTGTGGTAGTAGACGTCCCTGGCGGGCGCTACATTTTTTAATCGCATGATAGGCAAGACATAGAAGAAAAGGAGGAAAGGGGTGGGGACGGGGACACCACGGATAGGGAAAAAACTTTGTGGTTGTATATACATACGTATATAAGTACTGATGGGGGGGGGGGGGGCAGTCGACCCCCAAAATAAAAAACGTGGTTTTCTAATTCGATACCAGCTACAAATGTTGCTGAAATGACATGATTTTCCTTTTTCTCTCTCTCATTTTTGCCCATTAATCCAGAGGCGGCACTCCCGGTAGGGGGGGGGGGGGGGGCAGATAGCAAAATATCTGGGGCCCATCTGGGTTTTGTATGGGCTGACTAAAGCCACGTGGCCCATACAAAAACCAGATGTATACCAGATGGGCCTTCCCACCCAGAACCCACGCATATGGGCCCCATGTGGGCCCCATGTGGGTTTTTAATTGGTGGTGAAAATCGCACGTCGAACATCGGCTGGGCCCAGCTAAAAACCAGGCGCATACCAGGTGGGCCTTCCCACCAAGAACCCACAAGTATGGGCCCCATATGGGCCCCATGTGGGTTTTTGGTGGTGAAAATCGCACGTCGAACATCGGCTGGGCCCAGCTGAAAACCAGATGTATACTAGATGGGCCTTCCCACCAAGAACCCACAGGTACACGGAGCCCACGTGGCCCATATAAAAACCAGATGAATACCAGATGGGCCTTCCCATCCAGAACCCACAAGTACCAACACATATAGGCCCCATATGTGCCCCATGTGGGTTTTTGGTGATGAAAATCGCAAGTCGAACATTGTCTTCGCCCAGCTGAAAACCAGATGTATACCAGATGGGCCTTCCCACCCAGAACCACAAGTATATTGAGCTCACGTGGCCCATAAAAAACCCATATTGGCATTCCCACCCAAAACCCACATGTATACCAACACATGTGGGCCCCATGTGGGCCTCATGTGGGTCTTTTGGTGGTGAAAGTTGCACATCGAGCATCGGCCGGGCCCAGCTAAAAACCAGATGTAAACCAGATGGGCCTTCCCACCCAAAACCCACAAATATATCCCAGAATTTGCATAATGAATATGGGGTGCGTGAACATCTATGTTTTTTTTTACAATTTATCTGAATTTACAGGATATTTCCTAATTACTGATGATTTAGTTATATGCAATTCATTTCGAACATACTACAAAATGTAAATTGCTAATATTTAGGATATTTCACTACTTTGTATAAATTTCATTTAATTAAACATGAATTAGGAAAAACACTAACTGTGATCTAAAACAGATTCAATAAAATACAAGTATATGGAAATGTCTCATCACAGTAAATTAACCAAGTCTTCTTAACACCAATGCCTTTACATTGGAAATTTTAGACAATGTGTTGTTGCCATTGGCAAAATTAATTAGTACAAGTGCTACATAAGCTACTAATTAAGTTTGCTAATTGGAGCTTTTAACTGGTTGAAAGTTGTGCCAAATGGTACGACTGGTCCAGTTAGACCCAACTGGTAACCCTGTATATTGAAATGGGATAAATGAATTCAACGGGGTAAAAATAGAACCCATTTAAACAATATGAAGCCCATTTAAACCAAATTGGCCCATATGGGACCAGATCAAACCCACTTGGCCCAAATGGATCCCATATATAAACCCGCTTATAGCCCATATGGGGCCCATATAGAACCCACTTGACCCATATATAGAATGTGGTAGGTCCCACATAAAACCCACATGGCCCATCTGGTGCCCAATAGGTAACCCTTGTGTATATTGATGGGCCAATTGTGGGGCCCATCTGGGTTCCACGTGGGCCCATCTGGGCCAAGTGGGTCCAATCTGGGCCGCCCATCTGGGGCCCTTCTATAACCCGGGTGCAGATTGCTGGGCCCCACATGGGGCCTATCTGGGACCCATCTGGGCCAAATGGGCCAAGTGGGCAATAGATGGGCTGGCCCATCTGGGCCAAGTGGGCCAGCCCAGTTGTAACCAGATAAAACCCAGATGGGCCCCACAACATTTTGCTATCTGGGGGGGGGGGGGGTTCACTGTGCCACCCACTTTTTCAGGTACCCACAAAAGTCCCTTTTTACATAGGACAAGTACTCTTTTTCTTTTGTAATATAACTGTCTTTTCCTCTCTTTTCATCTCTGGTGAGTTCGTCTTTTCATGCAGCTAGTGCGAGAAATTCCCCTTTTCACCTCTGATATTTTTGCCCTTTTTAAAAACTTTGACTCGTGCCCCTTCTCCTTTTTAATAAGTGTACTTTCCCCTTTTGAACAACAACCCCCTTCACTTTCTCTTAAATTCCACTTGTGAAAATAGGCACTTCTAAAAAGGGCACTTATGAGAATGGAAAATGGACACTTATTGCAAAGGAAAAGGGAAACTTGTCAAAGGAAAGGGGGCACATGTCCAAATAAAATGGGCACTTATCAGAGCTGAAAAGGGGAAGAGACACTTTTACAAATTAATAGGGGCACTTGTCAAAGTAAAAGGGGCATTATTCCTATGTAAAAAGGGACACTTCTTACAAAGTTAAAGGGGCACTTTTCCTACGAGAAAAAAGGGGCACTTTTCGGGAGCTTGAAAAAGTGAGGCCACTGTGCACCCCCCCCCCCCCCCCTGCCCCCAAGAGGGCCGCCTCAGTAACCCTATCAGGATTGGGTTTTTTTCTCCTTATAAGATGTAATTTCTCGCACTGCGACCTCACAAATCTTAATAGCTTTGCTCGCTCGCAAAGGATTTTCGGACCATCACATCTAAGGCCATATTAAAAAAATATACATGTTTAGCGTCCCCGCCCGCTTCCTTTTTGGGGGCCGCCTCCTATTATTTTTTTTTAGAGAATTTTTTAAAAGAATTTTTTAAGAAAAAAAAACATGAAAAACACTGTTAAAATGGATCTATTTCTGATTTTAAAAATGTAAAAAAAAGGTCGGCAGCCATCTTGAAAAATAACCCGACTGTCAGGGAAAATGTATTGAGCGGCCATTTTGAAACAAAAAAAACAAAAACAAAAAGGGCCTCCTCGTTTAAACATGTTTTTTTTTTAATTTGGCCTAAAGTATGATGCTTAAGCAATATTTTATTTGATGTATGAAGATAAACATATATTGAAATACCTGATAATGTATTCACATTATAGGGGTATACCAATGTCTAAAAAATTGTATATTTTCGCTTTGAGATTTCCCGTTGTAGGTGCCCCTTTTTTCCAGAAAGTGCCCTTTTTTGTTGGTGCCCCCCCCCCCCCACTTCGGAAGTCGCTCCGCTGCCTCTGGATATATGTCTGTTCAATTATGATTTATTTCTAACACTGTCTATCTTGATTATGAGATGAAAATGCTTATATATACATTTAAATGATTAAAAATATATTTTATGCTACTTAATGATAATGGAGTGACTTTATCTGTCTGCGATCATTGAATCGCTATCATTTATGATGTTAATGAAAAGGAAAATACAAATGGGATTCGAATCCTGAACCCTTTGATTGAGAGCCAAGTGATAACCACTATACCGTGACTCCTCCAATACTGACAAATAAGAGGTAATAAAATGTCAACCATCTTCTAAGTATATAATCTGGCAAGTGATGTCTGTACCGTAATGACGAAATTCCCCCCCCCCCAAATCGACTGAGAATTATCCGATAAGCAAACAGAAGGTCTTCCGTAAATTTCTTTACTTGCCGGTGCCAAGGATAAGGCCCGGGGATAAGGATAAGAGGACGGAGGGAGGGTATGGGAGGGAGCTAGGGGTCATCTACTCTAAAAAAAAAAATGACAAGAGTGAATTTTCACTCTAATTTCACTTTTGGGAGTGACGTCAGTGATCACTTGTTAAGGAGTGAATATCTATTGATTTTAGAGTGCTCTCTAAGAAGAAAAGAGTGAATGTTTACTCTATTTTCACTACATTTTCACTCTCCAGAGGAGTGACGTCAGTGATCACTCGATTTTTTTTAGAGAGTACCCACTCCCCTCGATTATCTATATATATATATATATATATATATATAGGACACAAGGTAGATAAATAAAAACACCGGAGAAGTGAATATTCCACTGACGTTTCGGGCATAGCCCTTTATCAAAGCCCAAATCCTCTATAAATAGGTGTTTTTATAAATAAAAACACCGGAGAAGTGAATATTCCACTGACGTTTCGGGCATAGCCCGAAAAAAGGGCTATGCCCGAAACGTCAGTGGAATATTCACTTCTCCGGTGTTTTTATTTATCTACCTTGTGTCCTATTCATTTTATGCACCGACGCAGAACCATTTATTTTTACATTATATATATATATATATATATAACAACGTCCTATGATACAAGTTAAACAAACAAACCTTGAAGATAATGTAGTGTTACGCTGATTTGGGCAACTCATTGAGCCGGGCTGCAAATTTTTTATTCCCAAACAGGTTTGCAATTTCTTATATTCCCGTTTTTCTGATTGGCTGATATGTTCTACGTCATTAGCAGCTTGGAATAAGGTCACAAACAATTAGACTTTGATTATTTATTGCTTTGCCTCACTATTTATAGAGGAAAAAACTGAATAAACTGAGATTTGAACTCTCAAGTCAACTTCAAATCAAAGTGAAATTAGTAACAAGCTGTCCCTACTGACTGAGCCAACGATGGGTTGATGAAAAGTGATTCTGCATGATTTATATAACCCTATCACTCACTCTTACGGTCAGAGGCGGCGGAGCGACTTCCAAAGTGGGGGGGGGGGGGGCACCAACAAAAAAGGGCACCTACAAAGGGAAATCTCAAAGCGAAAATATACAATTTTTAGACATTGGTATATACCCCTATAATTTGATTACATTATCGGGGATGATTTCAATATTTGTTTCTCTTTATACATCGTATAAAATACTGCTTTAGCATCATACCTAGCAGTTGGGTGTGATGGTCGAAAAAATCATTTGCGAGCGAGCAAAGCGAGC